AAATCCATGCAGTATTTAGTATTGTTAAAGTTATCGCTAACATTTTTTGTTGAGATTTACACCCTTTACATTTCATTCAATTTCACAAACCAACCGATGAAATTTGAATAAGCTGATTTGTTTGGAAAAATACTTTGACAAAACCCCTAATTCATAGTTCAATAATTTCTTTAATTTTATAGGACTTCATGGTAAACAATATTTTTTAAGAATTTACTCTTGAATACATACAACCAGCTATGCAGAAATAATTCTTTCTGGAGCCAAATTACAACTTTTTGAAGCATTTGACCTTGTGGTTTGTTTATAGTTCTTGCAAATGCAGGGCAAACTGGAAACTGGATTCTTGTATATAGAAAAACTTAAAGAAAAGATGCATTAAAACATAATGCACTTTTATGAAATGAGTATTTGTTATTTTAATCATTAAATTGCTTTTTAAAATAAATGGAGTATTTTGTATGTTAAATAATAAAACTTGGTTTTGATCAGTCAATGTTTGGCTATTTTAGAGGGTGTGATGGACAGACAGACTAACGGAAGTCACAAATTTTTATATATAGATAGATTTTCTTTAATAACATTTTAAGCTCACAAAATAAATGCAAGAATCTAAATGAAATTGAATTGTATTGTTATTTATGTATATTTTTTAGAATGGTAATATTTATTTAAGATTTTTTTAATATAATACTGATCCTGGAATTGAATTCTTGTATATTTAATGTACGTTCTCCATTTGCACCTAAGGAAAAATCTTTTTGAGGAAAAAAAGAAACAACCAAAATTGGCATATCAGAAAGAGGAGTGTTTCTTTCACAAAGAAGATAATCTTATATTTTTTTTTGTGTTTATTGTAAATTTGAAAGATGTTTTACAGTTTTTATCTGTTTCAGTGATTTTCTGAAATGTGGAATAAAAATTCACTTTAGTTTGTAAAATAATGCATCTTCTTACAATAATCTCATTTTTTTTTTCTTTTCATAACTTTTGCACTGGCAAAAAGAACAAAAAAGTAAACATCTTTGAGATTTTGTATCCCAGATGCTGTACACATTTCTTAATCAGTAGATGTAAGCAAGAATTCATTGCTTTGTCTTATACGTTCCTGAGTAATAAAAGTAGAAACTTCATTGACTTTATATAGGTATGTCACTAAGTCTGTAGCCTAATGATAAAGAAAACATTTGTTTTGGACAACAAATAATTATTTTCAGCATAATCTTCTGTCTTGTCAATGCACTTAATTCATTGATAACATAAACTGAACTGTGTTGGGTTACAGACTGTTGTAGCACACCTACAGATGATAATGGCTATGTCTCCATTCACATAAATACTATAGTAAATACTGTATGTTGGTCTGCAGTTGGAGATTCATTGTGGAATTCACTTGACTCACTTCTAGCAGTTGTCTACTTCTTCTACACATTGCTGGTGAATCTTATATGCGTTGTTCTTTTCCTAACTATTATCGTTCATTACCAACCTTTGTGTGATTATTTTATTCAGTAACCTTCTCTAGGTTATAACACAGGTGTTTCCTATTTGTATATTTATCCTGTCATTTGGTGTCTATTATGAAGATTTGTTTCCTATGTATTTTATCAACATTAAAAAAAAAATAATCCTTGATACGATTGGAATGCAAAATATAAAAAAAATTAACTTTGCTTTCTAGTTCTTTTCATACAGATGTTTAAGAAATTTCGTTCCTCACTGATGTATGACTTGTATGTTTTTCACAATCAATGTTTCAGCCTTTACTTTGTCAGCAGTCAAGGAAATTCTGACTGTATTTATACTTGCATAATGCAAGGAATTCTAAAAAGGATTTTACCTACAGGGTATTATGAGGTTGTTACTTCGCAAGTTTTGTTAGGTCAACAATGGTAGTTTTTGAGACAAAAAAAAATATAATATTAGTTTGCCATAAAATTAAATAACTCTTTACATATTAATTAAGACATTAATAATTAAATATTAAAATATAAATTCAAGTATTATATATATAATCCATATAATGATTTTGAACTTACAGGTCATTGTTAAAGTTGTTGAATTAAAATACAGGGTGTCCATAAAATTCGTGTGCACTTTAAAAAATTTATAACTTTATTTGTGATAGAAATAATTTGTAAAAAGGATTAGAAAGAAGTAAATCTTTATTTTTAAGGTTTTATTGAAATTTTATTTAAGTTTCCACATGTCCTCCATCATTAGCAATACAAAGGGTAATACAATTTTGCAGTTCACAGAAAGCATTTGCCAACTGATTTACAATAATGCCTGAAATCACATTAGTTATTTTAGCTATACTTAAAACTAGGTACATTAAACTTTATAACATTTTTTACAGATTATTTCTATCACAAATACAAATAAAGTTATAAATTTTTTAAAGTGCACACGAACTTTACGGACACCCTGTATATATATTTTTTGAGTCCAGTTAAAGTAACTTTTGTGTAATATTTTATGTTGCATTGGCAAAATGGTGTGCTACACATAACTGATAAATTTACAAAATATTTATTAAGATGTGTGCAAAAGTTCACAATATTTATTTTGAAAACGTTTTTTTTTAAACTTTTGCATATACCTAATGTTTTTATGGTGTATAAGTAGTGTAATTGATATCATTACTTGAAAGTGGAATTGGCAACCCAAGATCAAATTCCTTCCTGGCTTATTGTGTTCACTTTTGGACAAATATGTTTGGAAAATTCAGGAATCCATCTGTTCTACTCAGAGCTAATGGTTAAATAGCAGAGTAGACTGTGCTCTCTAGCCTGGGGTGGCAACCAGTCTGTGAAGAAAAACTGAATTCCAAACTGGAAAAAAACAACAGACCCCCCCCCCAAAAAAAAACAATAAAAAAAACACTTTACAGATAATAAAGAATAAGAATCTGTGGAGCAGTGATGCCCCTAGGATTGCTGGCTCCCCGGGCAAGCAAGAACTTCGACACCCTTACAATTATATTTTTTTTTTAAATTTTCACAAGAAAAACTATAAAATGTAAAATAACGAGTTTATTAGAATATACAGGAATCTGTCACTTAGTGCAGCTAATGTGTACATTAAAAGATACACACTAATCAAAAACACATTAACTGAATATAAACAAAATTGACACACAAAATAGTTACCCATTTTCCATTTTTAATTAATCAGTATTTATTAAAAAAATCAGTTTTCAGTTACTATGGTTAAACTGAAGAAAGTTTTACTGCACTAATTGAGTATTATGGATGCACTAATCAAATTTTGGTATTAAAAAATTTTAGTGCACAAATCAAAAACGCATTAATCAAATGCGTGCTAATCAAGGGATTCCTGTAAAACTTAATACAATCTACAGAAAACATTCACTATCCTACCTAAATCATTTTTTTCTAGCTTTTAGATCTTCACATCTTTTCATGGAACTTTCTACACCTATATTCTTTACAAAATCATTTTCTATTAAAAAAATAACCAAAGAATTTAACCTGTTTTAAGTCATGGACAATTGCAAATATGTTTTTATAAGCTTTAGTTTTGGGAGATCCCAATCACATGATATGGCAGCAGAATGGTACCCTGGGTGACTGCCCAAGTTGCCAGTACCTTGAGCTGGCTCTGCTGTGGAGACATTTTTGTCATTCTTGTTGAACCTTAAAATTTCCTTCAAGTGACTGGCATATAAAATCCATTCAATTTCTCAAACAATTCTAACAAAAGGCAAACAGCCACCTGGATTAATAGAGTGGATTAAAGTGCTGGTTCGTGAATTTGGTAACATAGTAATGATGAGTTAGTTCCCTGAGCAGTACATACTTGGACTCTGTGGAAATGGTAACTGAGCAGTACTAAAAATAAGAACTAGACAAGATATCCCTAAACATAAATAAAGATTAAATAAAGGGTTCAGTTTGAACTTCCCTGTTGATTACTCAGATCGACAAGGACCTGATGAAGGCTAGATGGTACAAAGGCTGACATGTTGCAATAACAACAAACTTGAGGATAATAGTTTAAATAAGCAGTTTTCAGTCTCTGATGCATCGTCCTATTTTTATGACAATTTAAGAAGCCAATATAAATATCTGGTTTGGATATCTTTTATCGCTTAAGATAGAACAAAGATGAAAATTTAGCAAAAAATGTTTTAAATATTTACTCATAAAAATGGTCACTCTCATGTTTACATGAGAGTGACCATTTTTGAGCCAATCAAAAGCTGCCCAGTATGCAGTTGGTCCATTTATGACATCTTTTAGAATGGAATCATTTTACCTAATAGGTAATTTGTTAATGCAAATAAACAAAATTGCCAGAATATTACTCATGTCTAATGAACTCTGCATTTTGACTTTTCATCCTGATACATAATTTCTTGTATACATATAAGTAGACTACTCAAAGACTTCCAATAGTAGCAACAACAAAAAGGAGTTGCACATATAACTAGAAAAAAAAATGATGATATGATCAAGCTGTTAACTTTCCATACAACCAAAAACAACAGGTTTGGAAAGAAACTCACATTAGTCTTAGAAAGAGCAATAAATATTGAATTGAGAAGTTTAACATCCTCAAAAACTGTTTTAAGAAAAGATTTTATAAATTTCAACCATCAGTAATACTAACTGTTTAGTCAATAAGTACCAATGTTTTATGTATGGAAACAGATAATTTTACTATGTTCTCTTTTGTATTCATTTTCAACTTAGCATATTTGATGGCATATAAAATCCACCCTTACATTAAATATTATAGTATTATGGGGTAAGGTCATATTCAAGTACCAATAGTCTATGGCATCTGGGTAAACATTAACCTACCAGATAACTCGGCCTCACTTTTAAGGCCAGGGAAGTGTCTTATATGCCATCAAATATGGTAATTCTTTTATTTCAGGTTGGTAAACCAGGTAAGCTAAAAATCTGACAGATGTCATTTTTGCCTTTACCAAAGTCCTAACACTGATTAGAACTTGTTCTGTTTCTGTGTAGATGCTGCAGCAAACAGTGTCGAGGTTGAAAAGGAGAAACCAGCTGCTCTCACACACAGGCGTTCTCGTAGTAAAGGAGGAACTGAGCTACCAGTATTAAAAGCAATGCCTAAGTCTCTTACCTCAGATATGAAGTAAGTATTTTTCAATTCTCTGCCCTAACATTCCTGTGTTTTTGTTTTGTGAGAATTTTACACCAGCATTTTAGGAATACAAGTAATTACAAACAAGGAACGATGTAGTAAAAGATTAATTAGAAATAATCCACTATCGGTGGAATCCAGGAAATACCAGGATAATGATTTTCTCACGTTAAAAGTAGTAATGTCAGATAAACATTGACAGCCTAATAACTAATTCCTACAGCCTACCTGTAAAATAACTATAAACCAGTGCAAATTGGAAAATGAAAAAAAAAAAGCAGATAATAATTTAATAAGGTACAAGTAAAGTAAGTTAAATACATTCACATATATACAGAAGTTGATAATTGTTGCTTTGCTACCAAAATAGTACCATCAGATTAGTGAGATAATCTGAGAAAAGATGCTAGCTGAAAATATGGCCAACCTGTATTTTTTTTCCCCAGTACAAAAAAAAGTTTTATTTTTCTGGTTACTGACATTATGATGAGAGTAAAGTCATTAGCAAATTTTGTTTCAGTTATCTTTCTCACTGTTACATAAAAGAGGATCTGCAAATATTATTTCCCAGAAAGACATGCAGATCCCTATAAACCAGTGAAAAGTCGGATGTCAGGCCTTCTGGTTATGTCTGATAACTAACCACAGTTCTTGTAGTAAATGATGGCAATTTTTGGTTCATTAAGAGGGAGACATTCTAAACTATTTTTCCCTTTGAAGAATCAAAGTAAATCCATTTACAATTATTCAGTAATTTGATATTTGGTTTAGAAGATTAGAAGGAGTTAGAATTTGTGATCTTTGGGAAATTTCATTTTTTTTTTCTTTTTCTTTTTTCCTTATTTTCTTCCTAACCACCTTTTTGATAACATCTGTAGATTTTTTTTTAATGCTAAATTATATAATTTCCACATAATTTTTTTTTACAAGACCTTATATTTTGGCTATGGCTAGGAACAGTATTAATAATGAACCTAGCTGATTCTAATGAATCCAGTTTACCTGCATGGCCATATTTAAGTAATTTTCCAATTGTATTAGGTATATTTTCTGCATGATTTTTATCTATGCAATTAACTCTAATGTAAGAAAAAATGTCTGCATTCTTAAAACAAAAGAATAAAATGTCATCAGCCTTATCTTCCTTTACTAATGAGATCTTCTGTTTTTGTTAATCCTGGGTATGACGATAAACTACATCTGGCAAGGCCAAGATTGAGAAATTGGAGATTTTGAGGAGTGTGGAACTACCTTTTAATTGCTGTTGTTTTAATTATTATCACTGTATTTTTCATGTACACTGCTAAAAGTTATTAATCAAAAAATATCAGAAAGAAATTTAAAATTATAGACATCTTCTAACCTTTGAATTTATAATCTAAAAAAAAGAAAAAAACAGTTAACCAACAACAAAGGTTTGTCTTGTCTGTCATATGTCGTATTCTTCTTGAATGTGTCTATGTGATATTGTCATTGTTTGCTTTCACTAATATTTATGGCCTCTGTCCATAGGCCCAGTAAATAATTCATATGATATAAAACTTTAATTTAGTTTACAACTTTAAATTTTTGTTTTATTGTTTGAGTCTGGCTAAAGAGACAAGATATAAAAACTTTTTTTTCTTATTGTTTAATTTTTCTTTTTTTTTCTTTTTTTTTTTAAATCTCTGCTAGTTTTTGGCATCAATTGTTTATATTGATTGACTTTTTCTGTGACGTCTATTTTCATCTTTGATGCCAAGTTTTTTGCACTGATGATAACAGCTGCAAGAAAAATATCTTCTTGGCTTCTTGCTATTCATTCTCTCTTGGGATGAGCATAAGAATTTCTCTTTTTTTTTTTCATTCTTTTTACTTTATTTTATTTATTTATTGGCAGATTCTTATAAGCAACAAAAGGACAAATTTATTTGATAAAATATTATTTATTATATATGTACAAGTTTTATCCAGAAAGTATCCAAGCATTTAATATTAACAAAAAATAGCTTACCTAGGGCAACAACTGTTTAGTCCTTTTTAATATACTCTTCTTGGAGTTTTACACACTTATTCCAGTATCCCTTCCACTTTTCACAACAGTGTGTAAGGTCCTCTTTTAGGATTGCTATATCAGCTGCCTATCGATACTCTCCTTAATCTCATAATCCTAATCTCTTAATGAGGTCTATCTCTCTGAGATGAGGTATTATGATTACTTACATTATTTACATTATTCAGACTGTTATCCTCATCTTCATTGCCATATTCACAACATTTCGGCCATTGTACACTCCAGCCTTCTTCAGGTGATTAGAATTTTCTCAAGGTCACATGGCCCAGTGGATAAAAGTTTTGGTTAGATCCAGTGACTAGACCCAAAGAGTTGTGAGTTCAGTACCAGGCTACAGCAGTGGTGAACCAAAACTTGGAGAGTTGAGTTAAAGAGAAATAACAGAAGAGGCATGGCATGTGGAACTAGAACAAGCTACCCAGGTGGACAAAATGAAGGCTTTGGTTCAAAATTTCAATAACCTGAAGAAGGCCAGAGTGTATAACAGATGAAACATGAATATGACAATGAAGATGAGGATAACAGTTCAAATAATGTAAATAATGTAAGTAATATTTAATGATCTTTAAGCCAAAATTCAGGTTGTGTTATTCCAAGCTTTCAATTCACATGCATTATCATCGAAGTAGGGGAGAAAATTACATTTAACTTTCTTTTCATGCCCACCCTAAATTCTCAACCTAGACCATTAGATATAATAGGCACAAAATGTCTGTTGATTTTAATAATATAATAATGTAAAATGTGTTGATAGTGTAATACTTATCAACACAGAAAGTGAAATCTCTGAAAGTTCAAATTCCAGCTTATTCTGTTTGCAAAAGGCATGAATCCATTTTCCTCTAGCTATGAATTGAAAAAAAAAATTCTTGTCCTTGGTAACAGCCAGCCTAGGAGAAAGTAAACTTTGATTTCAATCTTAAGGGAGCTGTTTGGAGACTTTGTGGCACACAGTACACAATTTCTGTTATCAGTTTTTCCAAAAGGTGTGGTTGATTTTACACAAGCTTTCATGATTATAATCAAATTGTATGTATGGGTAGTCTAGCATCCAGTTGTAAACAAATCAACAGGAGAATCCACTGTAAAATGTGTGTGATTTATTAAATATTTGTTTGTTTACTGCTACTGAATACCAAGATCTGTAATTTTTGAAGGGTGTATAAGGCATATTTGCCTTGGATTGATTGATTTTTTTTTGGCTTATCAACCTTTTGCCATTTATTTGAAGCAAACTAGAATATATTTTTAGATTGTAAGAATTTTTATTTTTTTTACATTTGTATCATTAAACCATTATTAAAATAAAAATCTTACAATCTAAAAATATTTTCTGGCTTTAAATAAGATGCAAAGGTAAGCCATAAAAAAAAACCCCAAATCAATCATTCAGTTGTCCAAAATGAGAATCTTTGAGGATAAGATTCTCTAAGAGAAGATGGGTAGGCCATCACTGGCAATGTTTTCTTCTTTTTGCCATGCCCCTTCAAGATGTAGGTGGTTATGACTCCACAATTTTGTGTTCTTTGTAGCTCTAATAAAGTTTTTGTTATCTCTCCTAAATCCTGTTCTACCATCCATTTACACAAGCCCATTAGGTAGGTTTTACACTGTCTTACTTCAATATGTGCTGTGAGTGTCAAATTTTCCAAGCCCTTATCGCGGCCGCCTTTGGGCCACTCCTTAAACTGGAAGAGAACAGGTCATTTCGACCTTGACCTTTTGGTTGGGCTCCCTACACGCTGTTAATTACGTGGTAGAGACTAGCAAATTACCTTTTCAGTTTAGTTGTATTGCGAACCTAGTCGTAATATACTTCTAAGCATTTTTAGGCCTTGGTTTTCTTGTAGCTAATCTCAACTTATTTTTTAGGATAGACTTTATTACCTTACCAATTCTCTTGCTAGTCTCCCTTACCACAATACAGTGACTTCTCGCCAAATTCAGGGCCGGCGACTGAAACGGTTGGTACGCAGGCTCCTGGCCTCTGTGGTCAGGACGTCGACCAGGGCTGTGTATTAAGTTATGCTCCCATTTCTTTTTGTCTGTCAAATTAATGATAGCTGGAAACTTTCCCTTCTCTCTCTACTTCGCTTCTTACTTCTGGCTCCTTGCCCATGTTGGACTCTCAGCATTCCGTCCCTACTGGCTATCTGCAAATCATCCATCACCTTTCCCATACACTACGCTTGTAATTATTATGGAAGGTTTTTATATTGGACTTGACCGGCAGACATGCAACGCCAGCACTGGATTTTTGACATGCCCGAACAACATCGCAACACCTGCTCCTCTTTCCTTCCCGACATGTCAAGTTGGCATCCCTGCAACGACCAGCAGCGATCATCTGCAATGACCAGCAGTGCTTATCTGCAATGACCAGCAGTGCTTATCTGCAATGACCAACCTCGACCATCAATGCCTGCACTGGAATGCCAGCATCTCCAAATTTCCGACCACCTTTATTTCTTTCTAGAATAAATTAGCATATATCCCATATATCCTCGTTTTGTCGTCTATGTTGTTTCACCTTGTCAGATTTAATGTCTGCGAAAATGTTAACAGGCCTCTTGTGACCTTATCACCCTTTTGTGATACGAGGGTGCTCGAGGGGTCCGCTACACCCTCTTTCCTCATTATGTGCTGTAGAAATTTCAACTTTCTCTTCCTGATATTAAGTACAAATGTCTGTTTTGTTTCCATTTTCTCAAAAAACTTTGTTGTTGCCCCCATGTTTGATCCATAATATTCTCAGCATCTTTCAATAGAGCCACATTTCTGTTGCTTCAAGTCTCTTCATCTTTGAGGAAATTGTCCAGCATTCACTGGACATCCAAATATGACCCTTATATAAAAACCATGTTATTTATGAATTCTTATGTGCTTTTCGGATTACATCTCCAACACTAGTAATCAAAGAACATTAAATTCTTATAATGATCACACAACCACCACACTTTCTTAATATGCCAGTTACAGAAACTTTGTGCAATTTATATGCATATTGATCAACACATTACATGAGACCACAATATAGCTATTAATATTAGACAACTATTAGTAGATAATACTAAAATACTATATAGCATTAATTGTAATAAAAAAAGATTTAGAGTACTTGAAACTATACTTATACAAAAGAAATAATCCACATTAAGTACATCTGTGTGGAGATTGTCCAGCATTAACTGCTATATAGGGAACCATTTTCTCTGAAACTTTGTTGTTGCTGACAATATCTCATATCAATTACAAAATGTGTCTTGTTTATTTTTTTGTAAAAATGTTGTCTCCTTTGTCAAGTGTGTTTTGTATCTAGTGACCATCAATTAAAAAGAAAACTTTTCCTGAATCTAATGTATTTTATTTTTCAAAGTTGATATTTTAACTCTGTCAACTCCTCTGGGGAGTATAGGGCCACAGCCTCATCCTAGGGCCATGGTTTTCATAGTAAATTGGGTTTTTATGAGGTGTATTTACTAGTCCCAATCCCAAATAGTTTTTGATTCAGAGCTGCCTTTCTTTTTAACTAGTTGCTATCCATAGTTAGGGAGCCCCACTTATTATCCTCTAGCTCAAAGGAAGATAGATTCATGCCTTTCCAAAGGTATTCGTATGAAATGGAATTCAATGGCCTCATCTGGAATTTGAACACAACTTATCAATCCCGCTTTTCACATTGATAGCCATGATACTACATGTTTGTCTGCAAAGCTGACATGCCAGCTGGGAATTAAATTTAGAATACATCATTTATCAGTTCGTAATTATTAATATTTTATGAGACTGCCATCTCTCTCCAAGAGTGGAATCAACACACAGCAATAAATCCTTCATCTGATTATCTTAGACCAGATACTGAGTGAAAAAAATATTCATTTCTGCTGATGGCTTTCAAATTTATACAGACTACAAGGATTGAACTCTCTTTATATTCTGCAAGGAAATTTTGTTTTAATGTATATTCTACTATTGAATATAAATGATAATGTGAACCTTTTTTAAAACAATGTAGTAGCTAAAACAAAAGTACCTTATATACATAAAAGGTACATATTTTTATGAAACTCAAAGCAAGCAAACACACACACACACACACACATACATATGTGTTGGTTGAAAATTTGGTCAGTTTTCAATTAGCATCTGATGATTGTGCTGGCCATGAAACTAGAGTTGTGCTACCAGTAAGGAAATAAAAAAATGGATATTTATAATTAATATAAATTTTAACTTTGCTATTATATATTGGACAGTCTTTTATTAGCACCAGCACTCAATGTGCAATATTTTATATATATATATATATATATATATATATAGTGTGTGTGTGACTGAGGGAATCAGGGAGCTAATTTAAAATTCCACTCAAGTTCATTACATTCACTTACACTTGGGAAAGGCATCAATCAACCTTCCCTCACTCCAGCTACAGGTGATTAGCAGGAGAGACTAGTCTATATAGCCTTGATTGGCAACCAGTCTAGAAGAAGAAATACTCTAAATTCAAACCATCCTGGAAAGAGTTGGGCTTTGTCAGGCTATCTTGCCTAAGACACACCACTTCTGCTATGGCTATAGCATACAAGATGCCCCTACGGCCCTATTGGGCTACAGGACTCATTGTTATCATTGCTGATATATAACCAAATGGGGAAATATTGGTAGAGGTACGAGCAAGCGATTGTATACTGTTGTAACCTAAGGAAGGTGACTAAAGAGAATAATCAAACCAAGGTTGGTAATGAACGATAATACTTAGAACAAGAACAACACATATAACATTCGCCAGCGGCACGTAGAAGTAGTGCTAGAAGTGAGTCAAGTGAATTCCACAATGAATAAGACTTTCAATCGATTTCTAAAAAATATGGCTCAACATCTTCACCCCAAACAGTAGATGCATTAGCAAGCCTTGTAGGGGTGTTTATCGTAGTTACTTCCTTGAATTTTTCATCAATTTCTATTTGGTTGTATGCTGCCTTGAGATCAATTTTTGCAAAGTGTTCCATTTTTGCTAACTCGTGGCTCGCAGTTTCGATATTTGGCAAGAATCCAAACATATCTGGTGATTTATCCCTATCTTGTAATCACCACAAATCCTTAAATCCCTGTCAGGTTTCTTTATTGCTACTATTTGTGTCACCCAGTTACTCTTTCTAGTATGCCTTGTATCATTTTGTTTAACCTGGCCACTATCAAAGGTAGGATATGACTTGGAACTTTTCTTGACTTTGGGTGATAATTCTCTTTTAGTCAAATACTTTATAGCCTTTTAATACTCCAATTTCATTTTCTTGTGCTTCCATGGAATTGATTAATCTTGTGTTATCCACTTTTAAAACATCACTTCCTAGTAATCTGTGATCTTTTTCGCATTCTACCACTGTAATGAGAATTACTTCAAAATGCTTATCCGTTTCAAAATTACCCATTATTTTTATAATCATTCCATCAAATTGCTTCAATTGGATGTTGCTTGTTTTTTAATTTAGGCCATCCCAATTTGACCAAGAAATTTTTTTGTATCAGCATGACTTCACTGCCTGTATCGACATGCATGTTAAATATTTGGCCATTTATTCTTATTTTTTCTCTCCTTTTTTGTATATTTACTGTAAATACTTCAGCCTTTTCTTCGGAGGGGGTTTGTATTTTTTGTACTCTTTCTATTTTCTTTTTGTATTTGCATACATTCTGAAAATGGTCTCATTTTTTGCAATTTGAGCATACTTTTCCTGATGCGGGAGATTTGTACTTGTCTCTCTTGTGATTTTTTCCACAGTATCTACATTTAATTATAGACTTGGTTATGCTTGCCTTGTATGCATCCAATTCTTCTTTTGGTTGATTAAATTCTCTAATCAACTCTAACTGCTGTAAAAATTCAACACTAGCCTCCAAACTCATGTTACTACTTTGTAAACCTTCCAGTATTTTTCATTTGTTATTCTGGTCTTGCAAACCTTCGATTATTCTGAAAAGAATTAATTCATCTTCTATGGTCATTTCCAGAGTTCCCAACTTTTCAAATTCACAGTACTTAGCACGTTCTTTTAATCTATGTAAGTACTGTATAATGGACTCATTTGGTGCTTGTCTTATCTCTAGAAATTTGGTTCTTTCAGCAATGACCCAACTTTTCTTTGGTCATATGTTCTTTTTTATAACTTTGACAATTTTTCAAATGTCATTTCTTCTAATTCACTCGGGTAACACATTGTTGAAAATTTCTTCACCGCTTTGCACCCAGCAGTAGTAAGAAATAAATCCATTATCTCATTTTCTCCTCCTTCAGTCTTTTTTTATTCTTGCAAATGCAGCAAAAATTCTGATCGATGTCTCTGTGTTTTGGATCTTCCAGCACATTCAAGGATCCTATCAGCAATGCCATTGTTATGTTATGTATTTCTCTCTGGGTAGCAGTAGTCATAGCACAGTTCTCCACGTTATGTTTAGCAAACAGGTTCACTGACTAATGCCTCTTGTTCACCCTCTGCTCTCTATTTATGTTGTCATTCTCATTTGCATATGATACTATACCAGGAATAAAATATCTCATGATAACCATAAATATTATAAAACGGTGTTACCACAAAATAAACATACCAGCACTTGAAAATTGTATCAGCATAAAACTTGTGCAGTCAATCTAAAGTGTTATGTATATTTTTTATGTGTGTGCGTTTTGGTTTTTTAGGCCAAAGCAGAAACCCTCCTCTTTCTCTATTTAAATAGTTAAAGAAAACTAAATCTATAGAGTTTATGCTATCTTTTAAAATAACAAGAAGACAATTTATTGTACAAACTGAAATAGTATTTAATATTTTCTATTCATACTTGATAATGACCATGGCTCACAATATACACAAATGAATACAATACTTATTTCTATTACTAAATAATGTTTTTTTTTTTTTGTTTTTTTTTTTTATCTTTGCAGAAAAGTAAAGGCAATGACAGACATAAAGACAGATGTTGGGTTTGCAAGGGCCTTTGTACGGCTTGCCCTTGAGAAAAAAACCCTCTCTACCCACCTGAAGGAGTTGCTGGCTGATGCTGACCTTCTACGTAGCCTGTATAAGCGTTATGCATTTCTCCGTTGTGAAGAGGAACGAGAACAATTTTTATATCATCTCCTCTCTTTGAATGCCGTTGATTATTTCTGTTTCACAAACACGTTCACAAATACCAGTAAGTAACCAAATCTTTTGATTTTCTCTGCAGTCAAAATATTTCAATCAATTGGCTGTGCACTCATCATCAGCAAATAGGGTTTAAGAAATTTAACTATTCCCATTTGTATTAATTTTGAAGAAACAATGCGTAAATGTAGTGTTCAAGTCACATCGGTACTTGTTTAGAGAAAATTTTAATTTTTCTTCCAGGATTAATTTGCCTACAAGTTAATAAAAAAATAATAGTACTACTTTAGTAATCTGTGAACATCGTGTTTAAATGATGAATTTTTGGGTTTAAAACCCAGAATGGATCAATCTTTTATCTGTCTATATTTCTGAGGTATTATGTACATTATTTACATTATTCGGACTATTGTCCTCATCGTTGTCACCATATTTATTATGTTTCGGCCGTTGTATGCTCCGGCCTTCTTCAGGTGGTTGGAATGTTGAACTGAACCCTTTATTTTGCTCACTGGGGCTCAAGGATACATGGCACAGTGGATAAAGGCATTAGTTAGATCCAGTGACAGGACCCAAAGAGTGTGAGTTCAAATATTTAAGGCAGTGGAGAACTTGGAGAGGGAAAATTAACAGGAGATAACTGATAACTGACATCCATTAAACATGGCATGTGGAACTAGAACAGTCTACCCCGGTGAGGAAATAAAGAGTTCAGTTCAACATTTCAACTACCTGAAGAAGGCTGGAGTGTACAACTGCTGAAACATTGTAATAAATATGGTGACAAAGATGAGGACAATAGTCTGAATAATGTAAATAATGTATCAATCTTTTAATTGATTCAGGTTTTAACATTAAGTTGTCAACATAAAACAACACCTTCTAAATTGCGATATCCACAGGCTTGGGGTGTGTATCAAGGATGGGTTCCTTTGTGGTAGAGAGATCAATAATGAGGACTTTGATTTCTCATGTGCATTCATGCAGACCTCGTTCATATTACATCATCCATCTTTGCTATCATGCTCAGAATGATAGTTAAAATGTTTCCCCAAATAATTCAAAGATATTATCTTGTCTGATCATCCCTCAGTTAGCATTCATATATGTAGGGATTTCAATGTTCAATGTGAGAAGTAATTAGTGACTGGCTTCTTTAAAAAAAAAAAAAAAAATTGGTTGTATTAACTTTCTTGATAGGCCTCACCGGCCAACACAATTTGCAATAGTTCCTGATATAAGTAGTGATGTCTTTCCTTAAGCAACCACTAGTATTCCCTGGCCATGGGGACTCATTTACAGAATGGAAAGATTGAATCAATGTGAAAACAGTTGGGGCAGATATTCCAAGTAAATTGCTATAAAGTTCTTTGGTGGAGAAAAGTGAAAAGGAATTGATAATTCCTCTGACAATTTGTGGAAAATATTGAAAATTGCTGTAGATGGGCAATACATAAATATATAGAACAATTAATCTGCTCAAACAAAACTGATGAACAAAGTAAATACTCTCATAACCCAAATCATGGATGAATCTACTCCAGTTCATGATGCAAATCTCCTAAATTTCATTCTCACCTCCTCTTCTGGCAAATTTTCCTTGGTAGCATTACCATCTTTGAACTCTTCTGATCACTCACTGAACTCTATCAAGATTGATGTCAAACTAAAAACATCCTCTGCTGTCTGATTTCATAAAACAATTTTTTTTTTCAATATTCCAAAGTTATCTATGATAGCTTCAGATCTTTAATTGCAGAAGTCATTTTCTCAGCATTTTTCAAAAATAGATTACCCAGAACCACCACCCTCATTTCTGAGTGGATTCTTTCTAGCACGGAGACAAAAGACATATTAGCAAAGGCCAAATAGCCATCCTTGGTTTATGCCTGAATGTGCTGCTGTCATATCTCAACATAATCCCTACTTAATACTTTCTCTATCCCAGGAACATTATAGCAGAATTCTTACTGCATTCAGAACTATCTATAATCAATGCAAAAAGAAATTCTTGAAGATAATCAACTATACACAGTCAGTACAAGTCAAAGTTGAAAACGGATAACTAGGTCTGCATGAATTCTTGAAAATCACTAACATTATTCTTAATAAAGGTAATCTATCAGTGGCCAACTAAATGGTCCTGAGGTCATCTCATCCTCTTCTGATAAGTTTAAACACTTTCCAATGAACTCTGCCTCTAACTACACATTAAACTTCAAAAGTCAATTCCTTTCCTGACTTCCCTTTGTGATTTCTCTATAACTGCTCTAGGAGTTTTCAGACTCTGATCAAAAGCCTACCAGTCTAGATAAAAATCAAAGTCTACCAGTCTAGATAAAAATCAATATTGTTGTTCTTAGGAACCTTAGTTCAAAGTTATCTCCAATCCTGGTAAAGTTGTTTAACCATTGCCTGAAAGAGAAATATTTCCCAAGTCTATGAAAGATATCATCAGTATGTCCTGCTTTTAAGAATGTGAGTGGATGCTCATCCCTGTTGCAATATTGCCCTATCAAACTCTTTTGTGTAATCAGCAAACTCTATGAGTCTATTACACTGGCAAAAATAAGTTTAAGACTGATGGTTAAAGTTTTATCCATTTCAGAATATGTTTCTAATAAAACAATATAAATTAATTTTATTGTGTATGTTTTATGCAGAATTTATTTCTCTTTTGAATGATGTAAAAATTGTATATTTTTCTACAACTTGAAAAATTTTAATGCAGGATTAATTCAAATTATCCAAATTTGCCATGTTTAAGACTGCATGGGTATTATTATATTTCAAGCAAAAAGTTTTAGTAAAAATAAGCAAAAAAAAAAATATTTATCAATATTTAGTGCTGTAACCTTTATTATTAATTACAGCTTCACATCACCTAGTCATCAAGCTTGATAAGTGAGCACAAAAATCATTTGGAATGATCAGCCATATTTGCTTAATATAATCGTATAACTGGGCTAAATTTGTCAGTTTTTTAGCATGAACTTTTTCAGAAATATAATTCCATAAATTTTCAATTGGATTAAGATCCAGGCTCTGTTGAAGCCACTCAATGACAACCATATTATGGTGATCAAAAAATTGCATTACTTTTTTGGCTTTGTAAATAGGGATATTATCTAGTTGATAAATAGCTCCAGGTGGCATTTTCTCAGTCAAATATGGCAGAACATTTTCCTTAACTAACTGCATATAGGTTACACTATTGCATTTAACATCAACTTTAACAATTGGACCAATATCAAACCTACTGAATGCACCCCACACCATTACACCCCTGCCTCCTACTTGTGCCATCTTTTTGACACATTTAGGATGGAATTCCTCAATTGGGTGGTGTCAAAAAAGGTTTTTCCATTTAATCCAAAGATGCAAAAGCATGACTCATCACTCCAAAGAGCTCTACACCAGTCTTCTGCTGTCCATTGAAATTCTGCTGTTTGAGTCGATTCCTTTCTGAAATAATTGGCTTTTTTCTAGCAATGCACTCAAATAACCCAAATTCTCTTAGACGGTTTCAGACAGTTTGCAGTGTAAAACTAACACCAGTTTTACCAGATAATTGACTGCAAATGTCCACTGCCATCAGCATTCAGTTAGCTTCAGAAAGCCTATGAATTTGTCTATCCAGTTGCACTGTTGTTTTTCTTGGAGTTCTCAATCTTTACCTCTCCTTATATTGTGCAGTATCCTGGTAAAGCTTCCAATCCTGAACACAAGCCATTTTGCTGCACTTTAATTGCTTGCTTATGTTCATAAAAGAAACGTTTTGTTGATGAAGTAACACTGTTTTTGATCTAGTCACTTGGCTAAGACTACAACGCTTTCCCATAGCAAATTAATTGTATAACAATGCTTAGTTATTAAACTATATAGTGCATTAATGACCAGCCATTTAGCAAATAATTTGAATAATACCTATGTGGTCTTAGACTTATTTTGCCAGTAAATTTGGATAATTTAAATTAATCTAGCATTAAAATTTTTCAAGTTGTAGAAAAATATACAATTTTTACATCATTCAAAAGAGAAATAAATTCTGCATAAAACATACACAATAAAATTAATTTATATTGTTTTATTAGAAACATATTCTGAAATAAATAAAACTTTAACCATCGGTCTTAAACTGTATCAACAAGAAGGTGATTGATAATCTCAAGAAAAAATAACATTCAGAGTAACAAAGATTATGATTTTTGCTCCTCTGCCTACCAAGTCTATCACATCTACTATTGAAAAGAATTTATCTAAGCTTAACATAAAAATTTTTTACAAATACTTTTAAAACAATAAAAGATTTAATTAATACAAAGCAAAATAATAATAATAAGCTAAAACATGAAGCATGAATTTACTCTATCACCTGTAATAATTGCCACACAGACTACATTGGAGAAACCTCAAAGAATTTAAAGAAAAGATTATATGAACACAAAAGGAATCTTTTCCAAAACAATGCACTCCATGTATTAGTTGCTCATCATAATGAATCTGACCATAATTTTTAAAAAATGCTACTTTAAGTAAACAAGAAAACAATTTCCTATGACAAAAGTGTATAGAATGTACCTGAATCACCAGATGATCCACAAGTAAATTTGCATCCAGGTTCTTACGATATTTCACCTTTCTTGGCAGATTTTCTATTATCACAAGGTGTGAGATTTAATAATAAAAATGATGGAAACAAAAAGAAAAAGAAGCTAAATGAAACTAGGTTGATTATGCATGTTTCTTTTTTAAAAAAAAAAAAAAAAAGATTTAAGAGTTTAAAATTTTCAGCAACCCTTCTCTTTCCTGCACTTGAATAATTACATCAACGTAACCATCACTTTAGTCTGTTGAAATCCTAAAGAACAAAATATGTCAAACAAAAAGTTTTTCCACTTTGTCATTAATTTTCCTAACAGTGTTTTGGCATTATTTACATTTTTCAGACTCTTGTCCTCATCTTTGTCGCCATATTTATTACAACGTTTCGGCCGTTGTATGCTCCGGCCTTCTTCAGGTGGCTGGAATGTCAAACTGAACTCTTTATTTCACTCACTGGGAAGACTGTTCTAGTTCCACATGCCATGGTTAATGGGTGTCAGTTATCAGTTATCTTCTGTTAATTTCCCTCTGGAAGTTCTCCATTGAACTCTCACTCTTTGGGTCCTGTCACTGGATCTAACCAACATCTTTATCCACTGTGCCATGTGTCCTTGAGGACATCTGTGTATGAATTTCTGGGTATTATAAACCTAATGTCTTCAGCAAGCATATTTACCAGTGCTCATATTGCAATTTTTTGCTGTTATCATTGCATGTTTTTACCAGAGCTCGTATGATGAGGACAATAGTCCGAATAATGTAAATAATGTACATAATACCTCATCTCAGAAATATAGACAGATACAGTGTTTTGGCATATAAACATTTATATATCATTTTCTCCAATATGCCAGTAGGCATATAAAAGAACATTATTTATATTAAATATTATATATAGTGTTGACATAGGAATCAACACTGCATGGTGACTCTCAGTTTCACGCCTCAATGAGATCTTCAGAAATATACTATGTGTAAAATATTTCACACAATGTGCATATACTGCACTCTGATCCTTGGCAGAAGGCTGGGATGTGGCATTTTGATCCGTGATAGAGCACATAGATACTCTGATCCTTAGATAAAGTGCTAATCCAAATGTCAACATTCCCATCACTGGAAATTTTATATCCTGTGACAACATGTTTGTCATAAAACGCCTGTATTACTATCATGATACATTATTTCTTCTTATCCTTAGACAATACTAACTTTACTAATGCTACTATTGTGTTTCAATCTCTTTTCCTTTCTATTATCTTTATAAAACTTAAGCAAAAGAATGAAATTTGTTAGTGTAAGGGAAATAACTCTAATGACTTATTCTTACAGTAATTACTGTTTCTACTGAGAATTAGGTAGGAACAATTACTATATAACAGAACACGTCTTTGGCGGTATTTCTGAAATGAGATGTGATTCATAACAAGGGAGGTAATCATAGATTTTAGAGGGAAATATTTTTATTCACTTGTTATAATTTACTTGATTTATAAGTTGAATTTAACAAAGAATGTAGAGAAATAAATGGGTCAATTTTTCTTCACAAAATAAACTCAGAAGAAATTATTTAAGTCAAACTGTTACTGTCCCTTTCAAGTTCAGCATCCTCCTGGGTTTTCTCCTCCAATGCAACTGCAATACAGTAAATTAAAAACTTACAATGAATTAACACATTAAATCATAAATTTCATATAAATAAAACATTTTTTAAATCTATTTTGATAATTCACTTATTTAGTACTATTTATGTTTCCAAAGTAACTTTAATTTATAATTTTAAGGAATTATTTACATTGACATTAAAGTTGTTGAATGATTTTATTTCACTTGTGGCCAGGACAATAATAAATATAAAAGCTCAGGTTCAAAAGCCATCTACACCAGACAACTCTTTTTCAGTTGCATTTAAAGGGAAGTGCTCCAAAAGTGAAATGCTAAAAAAGGTTGAGTCATTTTTGTCATTACCCCTTTTAATGAATTCGAAGCAATATCTTAAATATAGCCTTGTGCCATATTCCATCCACATTGGAAAATAAATTAATACATCCATTCAGGTAGAAGTTCACCATTGGAAAGGGGAAGAGTAATTACTGATACTTGAACATTATCTGGGACAGTACCAAGTTAGTTCAGCAATTTTAGCAACTAATCCCATGATATGCATGGAATTAACACAATAAAAAATGCCTTGTGCCATGTTCTGTTCTAATAAGAGAATGGTTAAGTGCCTACTTACCTGTCTGAGTAAGTGATTATTTTATATTGAGTGATTTTTGTCTTTTTATTTCAGTTGTTCCATACAAAGTGTTAATCTTCCCAAGCACCAAATTTGGTTGTTTTACTACTAGTGCCAATCCCTGGATCAGTATAGCTGGGCAACTTGGGGAGACTGGTGTCATTGAAATCCCCAAGGGTTGTTTAGAGTTTAATACTGAGGTGTGTATACTTTTGTTTTCCCTATTTCTTTACTTTTTGGCAGTATTAATTTATAAACTTTGTTCTTTAGATTTTGTTTTAAAAACTTAACTAATATTTGTGTCTGTATGTATGTGCTTTTTCTTTGGTAGCAAAAGAATTTGGGCGTTCTCACCACGTTACGAATTGGACATGACAATAGTGGCATGACTCCAAAATGGCTGGTAGAGTACGTATTAGTCCGTAATGAAATTACTGGACATCTCTTTAAGTAAGTATTTTTTTCCTATGTTCATATTATTTTTTTCTTTATATTTTAACCTTCTTGTGAAAGAATTATCTGTCCCTAGATTCTGCTACAAACAAGATGGAATTTATTTAACCACTACCAGTATAATCCGTCTTCAATCCGCTGTTTCATTACTGGGAATTTTTGCTGTTCGATTGGAGTAGTTTAAGTTTAAAGTCAGCCTACCAGAAAATCATTATTAGTAACAACAATTGGGTGCAACTGAGACACATCCCCAAATGGAGGATTAACAATTTGCATTCTCAATCTTGCAAGGAAGGAACCTCTTCCATGGACCATCATAATAATAATAATATATGATAATTTTTATTTATGATATATTTTTTTTTATAATTCTAATAATCTTTTGCATTAGATTTCAACTCTCTAAATTGATTGTACACTGTTTTTTTGCAGGCATTAAATTTTTCCTTTGATTTTTGCGCAAAGTGTAAAAAATCAGTTTTTCTATTTTTCACTTTCAAGGTTGTAATTTTTTCCAGCCAATTTGGATTCAAAATTGGCACTGAAGAATTATCTATCAAATAACAAATTCCATTGAAATCGGATGGAAACTGTGGAAACACATAAACAACATCTGATCTCACATACACACACACACACACACACAAACATTTCGAGAATTATAGATATAGAGATAAATGGTGATTACTTTTTACGATTGAAATTCTCTTTGAGTTGAAGCTATTTGTCCAGTTCTCAGCAATTTAATATTCAAATTATCCTAGGAGTCTAAAACTCATTCTTAGAAAAACCCAAGAAGGATACATTTTTGTTATTACATTTCTAAAGTTTCATTTCCATCATCAAGTATCCTTCTTGTATCACAATATACTACATTTCATTCACAGTGGATATGAGTGTGTGTGTATGTATGTAATATGTATGTATATGACAATCACAAAATAGTACTTAGTCCTTGCCAACACGTTTCATCATTTGACTTTATCAAAGCAAATGATGATAAACAAAATTGAAAAGAGGCTTACACAGGAGCGTCTTTTTAAAATTTTTGAATTTTATGTAACTACACATTTTGATGTTGTTTATCATCACTTGCCTTGATAAATTCACATGATGAAACTCATTGCCAAGGATGAAATATTATTTTCCAATTGTCTATTTTATTCAATTTGTCTTCTCTACAGATTTATTCTGAGAACTTTCACTCACACACACACACACACACATATATATAATCACCTGATGAAAGAAATTTGAGATTAAAAAACAACAAAAAGAACCCTTTATTTAAGAGGTAGATTCTTTTCATTTTGCTGTCCATATCTAGGGATAGCTTGTCTTGTTATAATGCTTAGTTATTAGATGATTTTTAAAAAATTATTTTTCATAATTTTCCTTAAACAGAGATTGAGTAATTTTTATTTAGAGTTTTTTGTAACATTTTGTTTGGCTTTTTTTTTTTCTAGATTTCCATGTGGCAAGTGGCTTGGCAGGGTTGATGATGGCAGTACAGAGCGTCTTTTAGTTGGAGAACTTGTTCACCCTGCCACTGAGACAGAAGGTATGTTTGTAATAGATTTTTTTCTATCAGTTTTATTTTTGATCCACTATAAAAAGTAAAGAAACTGTTTCATCACAGCTAAATGTTTTTATTTTTAGCAATTGCTTTTCAATATATTTTTTTCAAATAAACTATTAAATAATAACTTGTAATAAAATAGTTAATGGTTATTCTTTCTTAACACAATGTGGCATATTGATTGGTTAAGAATTGAGATAATGCCCTTGCTCACCTTTACAATGTTTAATCATTCAGGATGACTTAATGGTAGAAAAGTCTAAATAAGGTCTTTGGTAATTAACTTAATATCCTACTTTTACTCCCACTGTTAGTGTCATCTTCCTAACACTTTTACTCATCATCTTTTTATTATTTCCACCTATAGTCGATCGTGCACTAATATGAGATTGTTCTTTTCAAAGTGCTTGACATTGTGCAGTCATATTTATTTTCCTCTAGCTGCATGTAACAAGGCTGCAATCTGTTACATACCATGTATGTTTGTAAAAGAACAAATGAAACAAGAAAGTACAGTCAGTGAAGCAGAAAGAAAAGGAGACAAGATATGTTGAAATAAAATTCTCTCTATTGCCTGTATAAAGGATTAAGGTGGAATGTCTCTTTGTGGGCAAGGGAGGCGACCTGGAGGATGGAGGAGTTGGTATAAATTGACGGAGCTTATATCAGGTCAGTTGACCAGGGCCCACTGGTGAACTCTATGGCTGCCTGCCTACTGCCTCAAGTCCTGCTAGGTGTTCTTTTAAGCAGTCAGAGTGGATACATGACTCAGTATTTTTGTTGTGCTTTTGCTTTAGTGGTAATATTTGTGATTTGTTCCAACATTTAAATTGTATTTTATATTTTGGGGAAGATTTATTTTGTAAGCTTGATGTGAGCTGCTGCATAGAGAAAAACTTTTTTTAAATTTTACTTTTCTAGTGTTCACATCCGGCCAACAGGTTTTGATGTGGAGGGAATCAGAAAGACATTTAGCTTGAAGCAGAGTATAACAAATCCAAATCTGCTGAAGTTATCCTCTGATTGCAACTGTCATATCAGTCTATGCCCGTTAACCTCTTCTGATTGCATGGGTTCAGCCTGGTATAGAAGTCTTTGGTTTTGACATCTTCATGTAGTTTTATTAACCTACTTGTCCATGCTGGCTTAAGGCAATTTAGAAGAGAGTTTATGCATGTATAAAAATAGTCTGTCTTAAGAGTTTCTATGGGAATTACAAGTCTCATAAAATAATCTTAATGGTAGACTTTCAAATGTCATACTATGTCAGTATCAAAAACAAGTGACAACTAAGTAATTTAGTATATCAATGTAGAACTGTCCAGAATAACAGTAAGACATCTTAGTAGCAAACTGATACATATTTATATGATTTATACTTGGATTATTGTCCTCATCTTTGTTGCTATTATCACAATATTCTGTCCATTATGTCATCCAGACTTCATCAGGAACCCTTTATTTAATCTATGGAGACAGATTGTTCTCATTATGTTGTCCATGTCTAGGGATAACTCGTTTTGTTGTAATTCTTAATTTGACACTGCCCAGCCCAAGGATTGAACTCACAATTACTATGTCACCAAATTAATGCACCAAAGTTTTAATCCACTAGGCTATTGAGCATGAGGTTTAGGCTCAGTGGAAATGAGGTAAGCAATAATTGAGCAGTACTAAATAAGAACAAGACAAGAGATATCCATAGACATGCACAGCAGAATGAGAAAAATCTTCCTTCATGAATTAGGTAAAGAACAGAACAACAAAAATGAGGACAATAGCTTGAGTGTAAATAGTGATTTACTAAGTGTAGCTTAGATAAGCACAAGGCTGCAAGTATGGAGAATCTAATTTACTGTTCAGTTATAATTGGTCTAAAGAGACAAGCTTGCTAACCATTACAACATGTTGATGTCTGAGTGTAAATATTATAATTAATGATAAGTCCTCATCCCAGAAATTGAGAGAGAAGCCAATCAAGGGATAATAACAACAAACAGGAGGATAACAGTCCAGGTGTAAATAATACAAATAAGATCTCCTCATCATAGAAATTCAGATACAACATATTTGGAAGCAGAATTAACTAAAATGAATTAACTTGTACGAACCAGCCAACCAACAGTCTAACAACTCTTGAAAAATAACAATTGATGATATAGCTATGACATCTGACTACATATATAATCGAATTTCTTGTGATATTGTGTCACCCAAAATTAAAAATAGTTCTATCTGCATTTTCTATAGTTATGAGATATTTGACTTCAAAGTTTGGCTAACCATAACTTTTTCATAAATTGATAGAAATACTATGTATAATTTTCTGGGGATTAATTGAAGGTTTTTGTGCAAAACTTAAGCACTCATAAAAGGTGTTGCAGAGAGATCATGCCATAGACATAACTAAAACAATGAGTGAAAATTGCAGATAGAATCATTTAAATCTTGGTGAAAATTTATTACAGTCTATTCAGTAAATTCTTGCTTCAAGTTTTAGGTCATTATGATTTTGTTTTGTCTTTATTAAATCTCTTATTGTTCCTGAGATGGTTGAAACAAAGCCTATATTAAGTTTAGATGTTTTTTTTTTTTTGTGCATCATAACAGCAAAATAAAACCTGGATAAATATCAGCTTCTATTTTTTTTAATCATTTCACACCAAGCAAGACAATAAAGCCACTATGATGCAAGAGGTTATTGAATGTTAGAGAATATGAGAAGAACTACAAATAAGAAGAGAGAGGACAATAAAAGAATCAAAATTAAGAAAGAAGATAACAATTGACATTGCATTTAAATTGTTAAAGATCAAAGTTGACTGGAAAGCAAAAAGCAAGAAGTGAATTCCACAGGCGAGAAGTGCAAGAGAAGAAACTGTTAGCATAGAACTTATGGTTACATCTAGCCATTTTTACTGTAAAATGTGGAGACCTTGCCACCAATCTAGTCAACCAGCTATGTGCCATACATGATACACACTTAGGTGATCATGTATCTTTCGATACATGACTGATGAGGCAGATTTTTCTTGCAGTAGGTTGCCATTTCTTTTTGCAGTAGACCAGTTGCCATCCAAGGCTTTAGAACTCGTTCTGTCCTGCTACTTACCTATAGCTGAGGGGAGAAGATGAAGATTCATACCTTTCCCAAGGGTATTAGCTTGTAAGTGAATGTAATGGATTTAACTGGAATTTGAACTTTACTCTCCAATTCCTCTAACTAAGCCACTATCCATTACTCCACCATGCCTAGTAATGCGCTTAAATTCATAAAGTCAAATTACCAAAGTGATAAGCCCATTAAGGTAATTACCATGAAAATATTTATAGAAATAGCACAGGGAAGTTATGTTATGGCAGTGGAAAAGGGACTGAAACTGAGATGCTAGGTCATGACCAATAACATTGCAGATTTTTCTTTATTGGATTTTATCAAGTCTCTAAATATATAGCAGGAGAACCAGACTCCATATGGCAGAAATATTCAAAGCAAGGATGATTGGTACACTTATAAATATGTAAGATAGATTCTGTTGATTCTATCTAAGAGCACTTACAATTTTTAACATTTACATGAAGAGAAATATATTGAAAATACTTTTAAACTGCAAGAAGCCAGAATGCATGGTTGTTAGCAAAAGGATGAGTCCAAAATGCAAATTACAAATCTGAGATACCAAAATGGAAAAAAGTACAAAAATTTAAATATCTGGGAAGTGTTTAACAGGGGATGGAAAGTGCAACACTGAAATCTGAAGACACATTGGGATAGCTAAAGATGCCTTCCAAAAGCTAAGCAGGGTATTAAGAAACAGAAAAACTTCATTAAAGACAAAGAAAAGAGTACTGAACTGTTATGTGATATCTGTCCTCCTCTATGGCAGTAAAGAAGAACAGACTTGAAATAATAGAAAATGTAGTTCTACAGAATGATGCTGAGGATACCAAATATGTGAGCAACAATGAAGTTTAGAGAGAATGGGAACAAAAAGGAAACTTATACTTAACATCAAGAAGAGACAGTTGAAATTTCTAGGGCACATAATGAGGAATGAGGGCTTGGAAAATCTGATACTCTGAGACAGATTGAAGGCCAGGGAGTGAGGAAAACAACATATAACATAGATAGTGAGCTCAAGTAAATAGATGATGAAACAATATTTAGAAGAAATAAAAAAAAAAGACAAAATTGATTAAGAGCTACACTGGATAGGAAATTGTGGAGAGCCATGATCGCCTACATCCTTCATAAAGAAGATGAAGATCCTAATTATTTTAGATTTAATGATTGCTGTAAAGCTCATCAGATTTGTAAAATCACAAAAAGTAAATAATATAGTCTAGATAAAACTAAACACATAATACTACCTACCAACACAATAGTGGTTACATTAAAAAAATATATCTAAACTTAATATAGGATTTGTTACAACAGCAAGAGATTTAATTAATACAAAACAAATTGGCAACAACCTAAAAATTAAATAGTCAAATATATAACTGTTGTCAACACTGGATCAGTAATCTGACTCAACCATTGACAACAAGAAAAGATTAATGATATAACAAAGAAAAATCTAGACCTTGAACTCAAGATACAATCTAAAACTAAAAATCAAATGATAAATAAAATGACCTGATTTAGGTAAACTTCTGAATTGTATACATGAGCTCTTTACTTGACAGTGTAAAATATATGTAAAATTTATTTAGATTTGGATTCAGTTACTTATTAACAAATTGTGTATTACCAGCAGCATCTACCTACCATTAGTAAACACACAAACACAGTAGAGCTTTAGTATCTGTTTATATTTCTGAGATGAGGTATTATGTACATTATTTACATTATTCGGACTATTGTCCTCATCTTTGTCGCCATATTTATTACAACATTTCAGCCATTGTATGCTCTGACCTTCTTCAGGTGGTTGGAATGTTGAACTTAACCCTTTATTTCGGTAGACTGTTCTAGTTCCACATGCCATGTTTAATGGATGTCAGTTATCAGTTATCTCCTGTTAATTTCCCTCTGAAAGTTCTCCACTGCCTTAACCGAGTATTGAACTCACACTCTTTGGGTCCTGTCACTGGATCTAAGTAACGCCTTTATCCACTGTGCCATGTGTCCTTGAGCGTACAACGGCCGAAACGTTGTAATAAATATGGCGACAAAGATGAGGACAATTGTCCGAATAATGTACAGTAGAGCTTATATTATACCATTGTATTATTTGTTTCCTCTCTGTTTGCTTTAATAGGATGGAACTTTGAAGTTATTCAGATTATATTTTAATGGCAGAACTTAGCTATAATGGAAACAGTCTTAGTCAGATGTTCAAATTCAAGTTCTTTTATTTATCTATTTGCTTTAGATTGACAACAATAACCAATGAACAAAAGTCACATTGGCTTTTATATAATAAGCTTATTTTCCCTCTATTTGATTTTTTTTTTATAACACAAACATAATTATTAACTCTTTCTATGCAGGAAACATTGGCCATTCATTGGCTACACAGTGTTACTGTTAGTTGAAATTTATAAAATCTTTTTGTTAAAACAGTTCTTCAGAAAATTAGACTTCTCAATATATGTTTATATATCTGAGATGAGGTATTGTAACTATTTACACTATTAACATCATTCAGACTGTTGTCCTCATCTTTATTACCATATTCACAACATTTCGGCCAGTTTGAAATTCCAATGTATATCACCTGAAGAAGGTCAGAGTAAACAACAGCCGAAATGTCATGAATATGGCAATAAAGATTAGGATAACAGTCTGAATGATGTAGTGCAAATAAACTTCTCAAGTTCACTGTTACAGCTCTTTCTATTACTGATAGGAGTTTCCTTGCAAACTTTTTTTTTTTGTTAGTGTGGAAAATTAATAACTTGATTATGTTATTATTTTCTCTTCTAGCTGCGTGTGTTATCTGTTTTTTGTGTTGCTGCTGTTGGAAGTCTTCAAGTGATAGAGGTTTTGTTAGTTGATACAGTTTCTCTCAAAAGTTTATTCATTTATGACCTGTCATGGGTTTGCCTTTTGTGAAACTTTTGAAGTGTTAAAACTTTACATGAAAGTAAATGATTCATAATATTTTGTGACTGATAGACGTGTTGTTCGTGTGTAATATCGTCTATTAATTTTTTTTTTTTTTTTTGGACATCTCTTTTCAGATCTGGGCACTTTATCTCGAACTCCTCCACGTTGCATGTCTCCAGCTCCCACAGGATCTCCACGACACAAATTAATGGAACAAAGTAAGTCAGGAAAAAGCATTTTCTAATTTTCATTTGCATTAGGAAAATAGCATAAGGTATATTCCATATCTACTTATTCATTGGAGACTACAAAAGGACTAGCTGGTTTGTTCCATATTTTACCATTTTTTTTGTAAATGAAAAATGTCAAGATATCTGACAAGTCAAAGTTGATTCATTTTGTTTTGGTTGATTTAAAGAAATTAATCTATTCATAAACTTGCAAGCTTCTTTATAAGTCATAATTAACTTATGATAAGCCATAGTCAATTATTGAAGTAGTAATGTATCTCCCACAGATGCTAAATGTCATGTTTGAGCACAGATAAAAAGCCATGTTTATAAATCTACCATTCATCTGTGCATTGAATATTCCTTCCATATCTGGTCTGGTGCTTCTGCTATATGTTTAGAGCTTTTTGACAAAATCCAAAGAAGGATCTGTAATGTTATCAGTCCTGACCTGGCATCTCAACTTCAATCACTTTTTTACTGCCATTATATAGCTTCCCTGTGTCTTTTCTATAAACATTATCATGGTAATTGTTTTAATGAGTTTTCTTTATTGGTACCTCTGCATGAATTTAAACATACTCTACTGGATTGGCAACTGGGTCACATCATTTTACTGTTGAGATAGATAGATGAATAGTAAATGTATAGTTCTATTCTGATAGTCTCTTTTCTCACACTTATTGCCCGTGGAACTGTCTTCTGGTTTCTTGCTTCCCTGTCACCTACAATCTTCAAAAATGTAAATATAATGCCAATCACCATCATCTGTCTCTCTGTTCTTTTATTTTCTTAAAAAGTTTCTGAAATATTTCAAGTTCCAAAATGACATAAAACAAAACTGGCAATTACCATTAATTTATGTAAGGAAGATATTTTTTTTTTTTTTTTTTTTTTTTTTAGCAACCCAAATCCAAAAAATTCCCTTGCTTGGTATTTTCTCTATGATTGAGTGTTGCAGGAATTGCCTAAAAAATATGGCTTGCATTTTGAAAGTACCTATGAGTTTAAGGCAAATATGCCAGACATTTTGGTTGCCTACAAATAATTGCATGATAGAGAAACACAAGAAGCTAAGCAGTCAGTCGGAGGATTGGTGTGATTGCGTCTCAATTAAGGGATGAGTCTTGTGAAATGGAGTGGCTCTTGCAGCGTGTCTCACTGGCCATGGTTCGAGGTAATGCTTTCTCCATCATTGCAGCTTGCAGAGAATAGGAAAAAAAATTGTTTATAGTTACTTTGTTCAAACTTTTTTTTCAGTAAATAAATTTCTCTTTTCATACTTGGGAACAAATACCTTGATGTATTTTCAAAGATATTTCAGAAACTAGAATTATCATTGATCGTTTGAATGATGCAACAGTACATTTGCGTGTTTCGAAAGGGGAAACAAAATTTGCTAAAGTTAATCCGTAAAATTTTGCACATGTCATTTAAAAATGTACAAAAAAAATAGCCTCCCTTGTTTTCATTTTTGTTGAATTTAAAATAAAGAAGTGTGTAAAAAAAAAAAAAATGTTATTGTAAGATCTGATGGCAAATATAAATAAATGTTCTGACATGTCAACAGCAAAAAAAAAAAAAAAGTCAATTATACTGGTATATTTCAAGCCTTTCACATCAGCCATGGCAAGGAATGAACATCAGCCTTTAACATCATGGCAGGCAGATATAGAAGAAAGTAGTTTGAAGATAATGTTCAAAATTTACACCAGGGGTCATGGGAAAACTATTAATGCAGGTCTCTTATAAAAGTCAAATGGCATTTATTATTGTATTTCAAATGCTGATTTTCTATGCAGACAAACCATCCTTATTTGAAAGATTGGTGTAATATGCTCTTTTTCTCCATTTTTACCTGGCCTTGTGTCATACTAAGCATCAAAGTATAGTCAGAGTAAACCTCTTAGTCAGTTGGGCAAACTGATTCAACCAGTTGTGTTTTGTTTTTTTTATTTATATTTTCTTTTGTGTTTGGCTATTTAGGTTTGTCCATTCCTGAAATTCAGGAGATGCTAGGCCATGCTGTCAATAACATTGTTAAACATTTCCATAAACCTGAAAAAGAGGTAAGTACCTAATATCTTCTGTATTCATTCTAGATTAGACACTTTACACATCTTTAAATCATTTTCATAATTTAAACTCTTACAAGTTGCTCATGAAACTGTGAGAAAGAGATATTCAAATAATTTATAATAAAAGCAATGATCCAGTTTAAAACTAATCACATGCTATTGCTCTGATCATTAAATCTCATGATTTTCTTTAGATGAATTTCTTCTCTTAGTTGCTGAACATGTCTGTTTTCTTAATTGATCCACTGTTGACAGTGCTTAACATTATAGTAAAAGATTAATTTCTCATGACCAGTAACAAATGTGTCTAAAAAAAGACACTTGAAATTTAAGTCTACTATTTATCTATGCACTGAATATCACTGCTGGTGCTTCTGTTATATATTTAGAAATTCTTGATAAAATCCAATAAAGAATCTGCAATGTTATTAGTCCTGACCTAAAATCTCAGCTTCAGTCACTTTTCCACAGCTGTAACATAACTTCCCTCTGCCTTTTCTATAAATATTTTCATGGTTAGTAATGTTTCTGTTTTTAATTCTTCCACACTCAGTAACCACTTGTGTACTAGTGGTTTACTGCCTTGCATGGGGTGATGTCAATTAAAAAAAAAAGTTTCTGATGAGCTTTCCTATTTGATACCCAGACCTTATGAATTTAAGCACAGTACTAGATTGGCAGCAAGGTCTCATCATTTTAAAGTTAAAATGGCTAGATGTAACCATAAGTTCTATGCTAACAATTTCTTCTCTTACACTTCTCACTTGTGGAACTCTGTTTCAGTCAACAATGATCAAAAATTTAAATGCAAAGTCAATTGTTATCTTGTCTTCTTAATTCCTGTTCTTTTATTGTTCTCTCTCCTTAATAATATTTTCTTTTTCTCATATTCTCTAACACCCAGTAACCCCCCTTTCATCTTAGTGGCTTTATTACCTTGCTTAAAAAAAAATTAAAAAAATAAGCAATCAACACATTGCTGCCAATTCTCTGGAGACAGGTCATGTGGAACTAATTTTCCAATCAATGAAACCTTTCTAATCCTTTTCAATTCATGTAGGACTGTTATATGACTAGCACTCTGATTTTCTTAGTAGCAGAATTTGCTGTAACAGCAGCTCCAAAATTCTCTAAACTAAGTTCTTTTGGGTGACCCTCCCTTAACTAGACCTCTAGACTAAAATTCCCAGTTTTGAAATGGGGAAAACCAATTCCTGCAATTTTTTTTTCAATCAATGCATCAACCTCATAAGCATGCAGGATTGATTTTGCTGCTGCACTTGAATTGACATCTTTTATGAAACTCATAAAGTACAACATTTCTAATGTATTCTTTAGTTGGGACAAATATAGGGGCAAGTTCCGAACTATATTGTGAATAATCTTATAATAGTCTTATAATCTGAAATAAATTGCTCATAGTAGCTTTACTAAACAACATAAAGAGGCAATACTGTAATAAAATTTGTTCAATATTTTCACATCAAAAATTGGACGGAACTTTCATCCCAACCTGACAGTAACATAGTGTGGGTTACAACACTTGGCTTTGCCAAAAATGCCCATTAGGTGGTGCTATTTAAGTATATAAAAAGGCAAACATTTCCTTTTTTTTCTTCTTGCCCTAAGATGTAATAGCTCATAGATGAGAATGTCACCCAGTGTGCATTTTCTCCCCCCACAGTCAATTTGACTATTAAACTCTCTCTCTCTCTCTATCTTTCTCTCTCTCTCTCTCTCACTCTCACACACACACAAGCACATTCTTATAGCTAGTTTTGATGTCATTTCCTTTACTTTCAATTATGTATGCATGTAATTCCTTTTGTTAATATCATGCATCAACTGTCATTTATTTTAAATTCCATGGTTTCTGTTTCTTAATTTTACCCGGACACATATGAGTCCATCAAATATTGTTTGTGAGACAAATGTACCAGTAGCCGTTAAATGTGAACCCTAACCACACCCCGCAACAAAAAGGGTAAAAATAAAACTTACCAAAAAATGAAATTTGTTCTTGAGTGAACAAATATAAAAATAAAATTTCATTTTGTTATTTTCTTTCAGCGTGGTAATATAACATATTTGTTATGTGGAGAAAATGGTCTTGTACAGTGCATAGAATGTGTTTTCAAATGTGGTTTCAAATCTGCTCGTCTTTTCCGACACAAATTTTACTCCTGGGATTACCTTGGTAAATTTTCGCTTTCTCTTTTAATCCATTTTTCATGTAAATCTGGTTGAATCCTCTGTGATAGCATTTACATTTAGAAAAAAAACAAAACTTGAATTCCCCATTCTTCCTGCAATCTATCTGTTCTTGTATGTTGTAATATTAAGGATAAATATTCACACTTTTGTTAAACAACAGAAAAGCTGAAATAAGAAATATAATGTGGATTAATAAGAATGTATAATATTCGTTTATTTAGATTTAAAAACTATTGACTCCAAGTTTAGAATTAATGAAAAAAAACCTTTTTTTGTTTTTCTCATCAGTCTTTAATTACTCGTTAACAATATGCAAAAAAAATGCATTATTTAAAAACCAGTTTATATATAAGTAATTCTCTAGACTATATAGTTAGCTTAGTATTTAGATGTAAGTAAATCTCTAGACCAGTGATTCTCAATATGGTCCAGGTGGACCACCAGTGTCCACATAGCATTTCTAGTAATTCACAGAGAATTCATAGCTATAAAAATTTTTTAGCCATTTCACAAAAATGTATCTCCATTATTCATACTTTGAAGAATTGAAAAATATAATATTTTGTTTAATTACACACATGAAAATTATGTAGGTATTATATAGTATATAAAATATTTATATTTTTATACATATATATATTATATATATATTTTATCATATATATATATATATATATATATATTTAAAGGTTTGAAACAGTACAAAAGCGTATTAAGGCATTAAAAACTAGAAATGTAGTATTGTAGGCCATGATAAGTTTAAATAAAACACAACAGTCGACCGGTTTCGTCCCCTCTCGTCAGAACTGTTAACGGGGAATTTAGATTATGAGGAAAAGAAAAAGTCTGTCATGGGTGACATGAATGAATGGACAGGGAAGGAAAAAAAAAAAAATATATATATATATATATATAAAATTATACCAACCAAGCTGCTAGAATCGCATCACAGCAAGTCCAAGCAAACAATCTCTCTGTTTGCAAAGAGCAGGCCGCCTAGACCTGATGTAAAGCGACTCCAGCACCTTAAGATGGAAAAGTGAGTGCGAACTGGCCAAGACGGAAAACCAGTCCACACTGAAATCCATCGCACAAGTTGGATTCTTTATAAAATGATCCGCAATGGAAGACCCATACGTGTTCACGAATGGTATCGCCTAAAGAAAATTTTTTTGTTTAGTATTATCGCAGGTACGTGTTGTTTAAT